TCCTGATATGTGTTATGAAATCTGTCAGAGTAGAGCTGGTTGTACGAGCATTGCTTATCCTAAATTAGTTCTTGGCCTGATGCCTTCAGGTAAATGAAGATTTACAGGTTTTTGATGTAGGTGGTTTTCTTGACATGAATCCTTCGGGTAAGTGTCTTCTTATTGTGGAGCTCTAAGGTTTGCAGGTGGCCTTTCTTCTTTTTACATTACCCCCTGCCTTCGCATTTTCGTTCGATTTTTCCAAAGTAAACTTAAATGTCAGCTTCAGAATGGCCTTGGGTTGAAAACAAAAAGGTGATTTCTGTCATTCCAGAACATTCTTACCAGATTGTGACGTCAGCGCAACAACTTCTTGGCTTGAGTGACATTTGAAATAGTAAACTTTTGATTTCAGGTGCTAAAGGTTTGATGATGGCTGTAATGATAGCTGCTTTGATGAGTGATCTAGATTCTATATTTAACAGTGCTAGTACGTTGTTTACCATAGATATCTGGAAAAGATTCAGAAAGGCTGCATCAGTAACAGAATTAATGATTGTTGGAAGGTAATGACAGGTAACTTTGTTAATTCGTGTTTTGGAAAACAATCCAGGACCCATTCAGGCCTGCTCATCTGTAGCATCATACTGTTCTTTGGCATGAGATTGTGAGCTCTATGGATAAAGTGCTGACAGATGTCGACACTGTGTCTCCTGTTAAAAGATTCATGTACTAGTTTTTGACAAGCTTGTCTCTTTTGAAAACACCAACATGCAATGCAATGACGTAGAAGAACTTGCTATCGGTTTGTCGATTTCTAATGAGATGTTCCTTTTAACCGAAAACTTCTTTTGGTTTTTCAATAACTTAAATTTCTTTAAACAGGATGTGGATGAAAATGTTTTATGTTATCTGCTAATGAACGCCTATCATGTCTTGCGTTCGGTCTGAAATAACTTCACCATATACTGTTTGTTTTACAGAGTATTTATTGTGGCAATGGTAGGTGTATCTATAGCCTGGGTTCCAGTAATAAAAGAAACACAAGGGGGTCAAGTCTTTATTTATATACAGGAAGTAACGAACTATATTGCTCCACCTTTTGCAGCTATCTTTTTGTTGGCTGTTCTTGTACCTAGAGTAAATGAAACGGTAAGAATTTATAAGAATTTTTTATAGAATAATTAAGGGGGTAAATGGTAATTAATTAAATATTTCCTAATTAACACTGAAAACTGCCCTTCCTTAATCCAGGGCTCCAATCTGCCAAGAGATTTTAAATATATCGCATAGCACAGTGCATAGAACTGTATTTCAGGACAACGCCCCAGTCCACACATTACAAGACGACATTATTTACACCAATCTTAGTCCATATTTCTTTTCCAATATACCATATTCATTTCATTCTTTATAGGGAGCATTTTGGTCTCTTATGTTTGCATTTTTGACTGGAGTGGTGCGTCTCTTCATAGCCTTTATGTTTCAAGGCGAGAATATTTGTGGAGTTAAAAATACCTATCCCCTACCACCGATGATTAAGAAATTTCATTACATGTATTTTTCAATGTTTATAACTGGTACTACTGCTATTTTAGCTGTGTTTATTAGTTACTGTACAGAAAAACCAGACCCTAAATTTGTAAGTGAATCCTTTTTTCATTCTCTGTGTGGATGTTGTTTCATGTGGGAGATACTGCATTTTAAAGGGTGCGTCATTTTGGGGGGTTGATTTTAGTCTTGAAAATATGTAAAGAGTCTTCAGAAGTACTAGAAATGTAATTCATTTAAAATACTTCAAACTAGGAATTTTACTCACTATTTCTATATATGTCTTTTCTATGTATCACAAAGTATCTTAAATTGACGAGTCGTCATTTTAACATTCAATGGCGGATAATTCTGGACAAACATGGATTTGAAGGCTCAAATTTCGGTGAGCTTTGAAAACTATTTCTGACTAGCTTACCTAAAATATTCCCTTTTCTCAGACTATGATTGGTAAAAAAATGTCTATTTTTATGATGATTCAAAAGATGTGATAAAATAAAAATACTTTAAATGTGGTTCCATATTCGATTTTTAATAAAAAAAATTAAGTTTGCCTTGCTTCGTCCCAATATTTAACCTTCGTCTTGCATTTCAGATTCATAGAACAACATATTGGACTAAGGATGATCCGGAGTATATTTGCGAAGTTGGTTCAGAATTAAAAGACAATCAGATGAAGGAAATAAACGGCACAGTTAATACCGGTGCTGATATAATCGACGTTGATATTGACGAAAAACCGGTTTATAAAGAACCCAGCAATAATGGTGAAACTAAAACATTAAGTAAGTATAGCATCGTTTATATATTTCATATCTTCTTCTTCATTTTGTAGTAGACATATCTTTAAATGGCATAAATGGATTATGAGATAAAACCACACATCGGCTTTAAAGAACAGTAGTTACTGGCTCGTCCTAGATTTAAGTAACTAACTTCCTCATCTTGCAATGTACCAATGTTGTTACTCACTGACCAATATGGCTTCTTTTTTCTGTCAATTGCAAAATTATATCAAAGTATTCTAAACGACTAATTAATTCATCTTAATTATTCTTGGGGAACAATGTTCCTTTAGAAAACAATCAATATTTGACACGTGTCAAAACATGTAATCTGGTTATTTTTTTCCGTTTACGCCCTTGATTAGACTTAATTGTTTCAATTCGGAGGAATTTCCTTGGTTAAATTGTATGGATCTTATCGTGTAGTGGAAGATATTAGCTAATTTTAAACTTTCTGGATTTTTCAGAAAAGATTTCACTTGGAATACGTATTGTCAATCTTGTGTTAGGGATAAAGACAGGCCAGGAATCTCATACAGAAGACAGGACACTGCAAGAACATTTAGCATCCATAGCAGATTTAAAGCAGACACAGTTTCAAAAAATTATTTTATCGATGGCCCTTATTATACTAATGGTTATTGGTGTGTCTATGTACATATTTTGGTCTGTTTACGAATTTGATCATGCGCCTTTTTATCCAACCGGAAGTACCAATGAAACGCTACTTCCGGGAGATATGAAACCGCCATTAAAGTAATGAATGTATCATCCTTATGAAATTAATTTCTTCCAATATGATGAGTACAATATATCTCTTTCGATTGCAAATATACCACTTGATTTGGTGTAGAAATAATTTCTAAGATTTTAATATCAATGTACACAGTCAACAATATTGAATATTAGCGGTGAATAAGTCTGGAATAGAATTTTTAATAGGCTACTAAGTACTACATGAAGAAAAGCTTTATACCGGGTTAAATTTGAAAATTATTCATACAGAAAGAAAACGTCAAGCCTTTCATACAAAAAACCCTGGGTTATTCGTTTTTTTTTATAAATAGATTATACTTTATTTGCATATTATTTTTTCACGTGCTATTACGTCACAACCCGACCTGCTCAAGACATACTCTAGTCTCCTACTGGGAAATATGATAACCTACACACAATTTTATTGGTTTCGAATCTGTGAAACTTTTCGAGTTAACGAATACAGCATGATCTTTGCACAAGATGCGAATCACCATAGGCTACACACCCATCTCTTTTACTTGATGAAATCAACGAATCAATTAAACTAAATTGCTATGTCAAAGCAAGTGCAACCCCTTTGCCGCGCTACATTTTCAAACATGTAAACCGGATGTTTACGATTTTCAACGTGCACATGAGCTTAAAAAAAAGCAACATTCGTTTTTTGTTCAATTTGTAACTTATTTTATTGATGAAATAGACCATTATACCAGCAGGAAGTGTTTTAAAGACTATGTGATGTGATGTGAAAATATTTAAGGAGTTGGTGAGTTTGTTTATATCCATCGTCAAAAGATGGTCGTTGATTGGCAAAATGATCTTTGGTAAATCCAAATTAACGATTTATTTTATGAGAATTGGAAATTTCAGTCTTAATTTTGGGTATCTTTTTATTTAAGTGTCTTTGCCCTACATTCATAAACCAAATGTTAAATCCTCAACACATATAGCCTAGATACTATACTTTCTGAATCACTTTTTTCAAATCTTTTTATAAACTTTCTAGAATGTTCAATTATTGACAGATTTTGGCAAATCTTGGTGTGAGTGTTAATAAACATCCAAGGATGAAACCTATTGAAAACCAAAAAAAATCGAGACATATTTAGTATGAGTTATTGCCA